CCATTTACTGAGCATCTACTAGGTACCAAGTGTTGAGCAAAGGCAGTGAATCTCTTTGTGGTTTAGACAAAATATTCCATTTGATACTAACAACTATGTGGTATGTATCACCGTTTACAGAACAGCACGTCAAGATACAGAGAGGCTGAGCAATTTATCTAAGATTGCACAGCCTATCAGTGTCAGAGCCAAGATTTAAGCCCAGATCTGACTGACTCTAAAACCCATGCCTTTATCCACTTATGCTATACTGCCATCCTCTGCCAAGGGCAGGCTAGGGGCAGAGATGCAGATAACAGTTTCTTTTATAATGCTCCAAGCTGCTTAGCAAAGAATCCTGTACACAGCCAATATTTGGTAGTTTTTCCAGAGGGCTGCAGAAGAGGCCTGAAAACGTTCAAGCATAATCAGACTATCACAGAGTGCCCCTGCAGCTGGCAACCCAACACCGTTTTATAAGTTTCTTACAGGGAAACTTCCCTTAGCTCTACTTCCCCTATCAAACTCCTCCTGACCCCAAGCCAAGGGAATGCATCACGGAAAATTTGTGTGGCTATTGCTTTAGAGTTTTCTAAAAGGAGCTTCCTTGTCTATTCTTGTGTATGCGGAGCACTGACCTCTAGAGCCAACCCCAACCTTAGTTCCCTCCTGAAGCCTAATCACATGAAACATCTTTAGGGATGAGCAGCCCCTAGAAGGTGCTAGCATAACTTAGACCCAGCCAAAAACTGCCTCCTCTTCTGACTCCTCTCTGTTAGACACCTTGGGGTTCAACTATACATGATGACCTGGAGATCCCTGAATTCACCACAGTATTTTATGCCTCTGAGTCTTCCCGAATGCTGTTCCTTTTGTCATCTTCCTAACTCTGAATCATGTTAAACACTTGCTCTGGGAAACCTTCTCTGCTCTCCTTCCAAAGCTGAATCCCCTTTTGCGTGTTCTCAATATTCTGTGCTTATCGCCTATCATAATATTTACCAAATTATGCTGAGAGTATCTGTCTACCATCTCTCTCTTTTACTAAACTGTAATCTCTTCTAGGGACCATGTTTTAGCCAGTACCAACCATAGTACTTGGTGTGTGGTGGGTGCTTAATAAATTGTTTGTTGAGTGAATGAATGGTTGAAAGTATATCTTCCCTTAAGAGTAGTGGCTAGTAAAAAGATCTGCCATTCCTCTCCCACAGGCATACTCTCCTTGCCTGTAGGCCAGGTAACATCAAACTCTAATCAATTATAGTAGACTTCTGGAAAAAGAGTGCATAAGTAGTCCTGCAACTGTAGCTGGTATGCTTGCAGCTCCCATATACTTTGAGGCAAGAGTACCAGCATTTCTGGGACACTGAGCTGTTTTTTGAATACTTGAAGCCTTGAGAACAAGTTTTGTAGGATAAACAAGTCCCACCATGTTGTCTGTCATTCATTCATTCATTCAGCAGTATTGATTGAGCATCTACTAAATTCAAGATATTTTGGAGGAAACAAATGACTCACATAAATTCTGCCTACTAAAAGAGATAAGTCACTTACTGAAATAACTCTGAGATAGGTATAACCCTTACCTCTATTTTAAAGATGATGATGGCCGGGCGCAGTGGCTCAAGCCTGTAATCCCAGCACTTTGGGAGGCCGAGACGGGCGGATCACAAGGTCAGGAGATCGAGACCATCCTGGCTAACATGGTGAAACCCCGTCTCTACTAAAAAATACAAAAAACTAGCCGGGCGAAGTGGCAGGTGCCTGTAGTCCCAGCTACTCGGGAGGCTGAGGCAGGAGAATGGCATAAACCCGGGAGGTAGAGCTTGCAGTGAGCTGAGATCCAGCCACTGCACTCCAGCCTGGGTGACAGAGCAAGACTCCGTCTCAATAAATAAATAAATAAATAAATAAAGATGATGATACAGAGGTACAGAGAGGTCAAGTAACTCACTCACCCCATGTCATACAGCTGGTAAGCAGCAGAGTTGGAATTCAAATCCAAGCATTTTGGCTCAAGAGCTCATACTTGACTTCTGGGCACACTGCTTCTCTGAGGGCAGTGCAAAGCAAAGCAGCCTGAATGTCATCTCAGAGAAAGGGGAAAGTCCTGTCAGCTGTGGAGGCCAGAGAATGGTGACTAGAATTTGATTTGTGGCACTCTAGACAGTATGAGAAAAGGCATATACTCTGTATAGGGTACAGTGAATAGTAAAGATTGCTTGGGTCAAATAAATAATAAAAATTAAAAGGGTGGTTTAAGTTGTAAAGAGATCCTGAATTCTTGCCAGGGGCTTTAGACAACTGTAGACAAAGGAGAGTCCCTGGCAGTTTTTAGTGAGAGATCAGATCTGTGCACTAGGAAGATTAGTTTGCACTCTCTAAGCTGGATTACAGAGAGAAGAAACTGGAATCAGGAAGACCCTTTACTGCAATACTCTAAACAAAAGGATTTTTTTTTTATCCAGGATAATGCTGGAGTTAAATCATGATCTTTGTTTTTATTAGTCTCAAAAAGTTAAGGATGTATTAATATATACCCCAAATACCTTGTGGTCTCTGATCTATATGAATTGATTCAAGCCTTATGAGCTTGATTTCCACCCTTGGTGTATAGTAGCATAGTTTATCCTAAAACAATTGCTTTCAGTTTTCCATGAGCAGCACAGGGTAGGGAGAGAATGGGATAGGAGAGGAAGCACAGGAATAGAAGCCAGGACAGCAGTCCCCTTTCCTGGTCTTTTGCGAAAACAAATGTGTGTTTATGCTGTATAGATATAGAAGCTTTTCCCTCTGTAACCCTTTTTCCTCCTTATTAACCCTGCATTGTAAACTACTTTCCTGCTATAGCCACTCAATCAAATTCTAGATGTGGAAGAGATTTATGTGATCACCTAGCCCAGACCTCCTCTTTCACAGGTTAAACTCTGAAGCCCTGAAAAAGAAGAGTACCTTGTCTCAGGCCACACAGCCAGCAAGTACTGGGGCATGCCATTGATCCTCTCAGCCTCCCTGACCTGGACCATCTCCAGCTCCCACCTCACATGGGCAGCCCCTAAGAATGATTCCACATTCCAGGGGCAGGAATCCATGATTTTGCATTAAGGGAGAAAAAGTTTTGGTTGCATTTGCAGTGACGATGCCCATCATTTGCAGATCGTTCTGGCTGTGGGCGCCTAACAAAGTCCTGTGTGTCCTCTTCAGTGTCTCCCAGGTGCCTTATCAACAGCCTTCTCAAAAGTGCCTGATTGTTAAATTCTGACCTATTCAATGTGAGATAAGGAGACATGGCTTAGATTGGGGTCAGGGACAGTTTATAATTACCAAATGCCTGCTGGCATTTCCACAAAGGTTCTGCCATCAACCCAAACCCAACACACTTCCCTCAACATCACACTGGTGTCCAAGTTTCCCAAACCTGTCATTCAGTATGCTCCATACTAAACCCCTGTGGGCCATCCATAGTCCGTCTCTCTCTGACTAGACAGTCACCAAGACCCATTTTGCTTTTCCTTTGTAACACGTCTTATTTCTGTCCTTTCAAATCCTATTGGAATTCTGCTTGGAATTCCATGTCGGGCTGGGATGAGACCATTCAAAACTTGCATGTGAATAGACAAAATTCAAGAAGGAAGGCACCTCCCCTAACTCAGTTTGAAACCTGCTTACTTTGCATCTGTTGCATCACAGGATCCTTTTAAAATGTGAGCTCAGGACCCAGAATTCGCCTTTATCCTTACTGGCTTGAGGCTTTAGTTGTAAAAGTCCATTTGCTGGCCTCCAGCTGTGGCCTGCCATGCATTTGGCTAGCTCTCCAGCCGGGGAAGTCTCTGTAGAGGGCAGTTTTTAAACAGGACAGATTCAGCTGAGTTTTTAAACAGGCAGTTTTTAAACAGGACAGATTCAGCTGGCTGGCCTGGCACTAGCCAGAGGGTGATCTGTGTAAAGACAATCTCTGAGCTGAATTTCATGAATCCCTACTCTAAACAAGGCACGAGCTAGACACTGAAGGGATTACTAAAAAATATATGAATTCTCACCTCAAAGAGTCAGCCGGCTTAAAATGGAAGAGGGAAAGCTAGTATAGCAACACATGGCAAAAAATAAATTCCTGTCAGGCACTGTGTTAGATTCTGGAGAGAGATACACGAAGTTTCTGACCACAAGGAGGTCATGATCTGGAAGATAGATAAGAAACAATTACAACCCACCTTAATAATCATTATTATGATAGAGGTAGACCCTGGATACTTTGAGAACCTAAACCAGACTGATATAACAGTTATGACTAGAAATGATTGAATATGACTACATGCCAGGCACCGTGCTGTGCACATTAAGCCATTTTTCTGTCATTTTCTTCTCATTTCATCCTTTTAACAACTTCTGTACAGAAATTATATTTTTAATTTTTAGATTGGGAACATGAGGCCCAGAGAGTAGTTAGTCCCAGGTCCCTTGGTATATAACAGAGGGAACCAGTAACCCAGCCCTGGTCTGCCTGATGCCAGGATCCAATAACTACCATTGTCTACTGGCTCTTCCTGGAGAAGGCCTCGCCTGAGCAGAGCCAGAGGCTGGATGAGGACTAGCCATGCAGAGCTGGGTTGGGTGGTGGAGAGGCTGTAGCTGTTGCAGGTACAGAGAACAGCAGATGAAGGGTGCGGAGGAGAGAGACAGCATGCCACACTTAGAATCCAGTATTTCTCTGAACTGCCAGAATGGCCAAAGAGGGCCTCACAGAGGAGGTGAGTTTTGAGTTGTGAAGAGTTAAGCGTTGGGGGTGGGGGACAGCTTAAAGAGCCCAGTGTTCCTCCAGCAAAGGAGGAAAGCAGGAATAGAGTGAATGTGTTAGGCCATGGCAATGAGCAGGCCAGGTCAGGGTGAAAAATGAAAGGGATGAAAACAAGAGACATTGAATTTGGGAAGCCATTTTTATTTGGATGTGGGAGGGGCAGAGTTGGAAGACAGCAGAAGAGAAGGTCAAGCCATGCTCTCTAACCTGGCCTTTCCCCCTTCAGCTTATGCTCAGCTGCAGCCACACCAGCTCCTCCCACAGCCATCCTCAAAGCACCTGCAGCCCCAATTTGTGATCCAGCAGCAGCCACAGCCACAACAGCAGCAGCCACCGCCCCAGCCATCACGGCCTGGGCTCCAAGCTCAGCCCCACCCTCAGCTCGCCTCCGTCTCTCCAAGTGTGGCCCTCCAGCCCAGCTCAGAGGCCCATGCCATGCCACTAGGCCCGGTTACACCCGCCCTGCCGCTCCAGTGTCCCACTGCCAACCTGCACAAGCCTGGCGGCAGTCAGCAATGTCACCCTCCCACGCCTGATGCTGGGCCTCAGAATGGACATCCCGAGGGCGTGCCCCACACCCCTCAACGCAGGTTCCAGCACACTTCAGCCGTCATCTTACAACTGCAGCCTGCTTCACCAGTGGTGAGTAAGCCAGCCCCAAGGTCCAGGGAGCACACGGGGTGGCCACAGCTTGGACGACCCCACAGCCCCTTCAAGAAGTGCTTCTGGGTAGGCTGACAGGTGAAATCATCTTTGGGGATTCCAAGAAGGGAGAGGGCTTTCCTCAGTTTGAGGATGACTGAATCTTAAGGTCCTTGCCTGCTTCCCAAGCTCCACGGAAAGCAGGGAAGTATCCAAGAACGCAAAGGCTATTTCTGAGAGGCCCCTCTCTCTGTCCTGTCCTTTGACAGCCCCAGCAGTGTGTTCCTGATGACTGGAAAGAAGCGGCACCAGGGGAGAAGAGTGTGCCTGAGACTCGGTCTGGCCCATCACCACATCAGCAGGCTATTGTCACTGCCATGCCTGGTGGCCTGCCTGTACCCAAGAGCCCTAACATCCAGTCGTCCCCAGCTCACGGTATGAAGCACAGTGGGGCTCTGGGGGAGGGGATAAAGTTGGCCTTTCTTGCAATGCCCTGGCACATTTCACTTGAGCATCTGCAATGGGAAGGCAAACTATTACAAGCAGGGAAGCTGGGGGGTTGGAAACAGAGGAGGGATGTGAGAAGATGAACCAGAAATAAAGTAAGGGAGACACCGAAGATATTAGAGCAAGAGGGTGGAGAAAGAAGAGGTGAAAGTTCTAGAGCCAGACACTGGGGCCTGCCTGCATGTCACTGGTGTCAGATGTATCCACATAGACATATGCCAAGTGGAGAGTGGAGGCAGGTGGCCAGTTGTCACAGTTCTCTGCTTCCTTTGGTATGAAAGGGGGTTCTTGATATTGGAAATATGGCAAAACAGTTACCACATCTCAAAAATAAGGGAAATGCCAGGGAGAGGCAGAAGGGGACTCAAATGAGTTCAGCTCACAGGAAGCATCTCTGAGGAAACTGTCCTCAGCTTTGGGATCCCCATCTGTCTGTGCGGGCTCAGTTACAAGTGGACTTCTCCCCTCCTGAGGTTCAGGAGACTCTGCTGGGTTCCTTCATCTGGATGGGAGAGGCACGGCAGTACCTCCGCCTTCTGCAAAGATCTGCTTGCTTCCCTTCCCCTCTCTGCCAGTTTGCACAGCACTGTTGGCCCAGATCTCAGTGACATTCTGAGCCATGGACCACCTGCAACTCAGGGAGGCAGTTCCAGTCGTTGTGCTGTGTTTGCTGAGGGAGGGTGGGGGACAGCCAAGAGAAAAAGAGTTTGGAAGTTGATGGAGAAATAAGAAAAAAATACCTTAGCACAAGGCAGGGCAAAAAGGGTACAAAGGTTCTACAAGGAACAGAAGCAGGATCAAGGAAAAGAATATGGAGAAAGAACAGCAGGAAAATTAAAGGATGGGAAGGAGGTCATCTCTTCTCTCTCTGCACACTTGCAGATGAGAAGGGGTTTTGAACAGCAGTCCATTCCACTGTAGATTTGCTCTAATTATCAGAAAGCTGCTTTTCAAGTGAAGTCAAACCTGCTCTCTTGGAATTTGCCAGCATTGGTCATTATTCTGTCTTGTGAATTGTAAGAGTCCATCTTATACAGTGTTTGTAGACAGTTATTGGACTGTCTCTTGCCTCTCCCCCCATTAAAAAAGAGAAAATCTCCAGGCTAAATATCTGAGACTTTTTTTCATTTTTTACTTATGACAGGTCAAGACCTCCATTCTCACCATTCTGGTCAGGCTTGTCTATCTACATTCTACCTTTTCATTAATTCTCCTAACATTTGGTCCCCAAAATTAAGCACATTAATTCCAAATATAAACAGCTACTAGTCTTTAGAAGCCTGTTTCAGGGGTAGGGCTGTTCCCTAGATCCATGTTTTATGGTAGGGAGGAACTACAATTTGTTGAACACCTACTATATGCTGAGTACTGTTCCAAGTTGTTTACTCACTCATGACAGCCCTAGGACATAAGTAGAACTGTCCCCATCATTCAGAGGCAGAAACAAAAGCCAAGGGGCTCCAGGTCCTGCGGCTGTGAAAGGGCAGCACCATGACTCTTGACTCCTACAGTAGTCACTCCCTCACCTTCCTTCATCAGGATGGTGCACAAATGGCCCCCGTGAACTCCCCGACGCTATAGGAATGACACTGTTGTTCACAGAGCACTGTCACCTGAATTCCAGAGAGCTGGGTTTCATTTTTGTTTCTGAGGTTTCATCTTACCTGGAACTGCTGTCATGCCAGCTCTCCCTAGTCTAGAACTTGTATAATTTATAGTTTGAACCAAAATATAATTGCTTTCATCTGTTAAGTGTTATCTTGTAAATTTAGCCCATAGTTCTAGCCTAGCAAGAAAACAGTAATGGTTACTAGTTAATATTTATTGAGCCCTCTCTGCTAGACTTTACACATATTTCCCCATTTAATCCTGACAATAACCCTCTGAGGTAGCAACTTTTATCCTCATTTTAAAGGTAAGACCACTGAGGCATAGAAAAAAGCAAGTGGTGGGGCACGAATCTTTTCTATCTGAATTCTGCTATTCATTATACTAACTCCTCTGCTTAACCTTGCCACCTGTAAATTATATAGCGTGTTTTATTTGCCTTTTACCAATTTGTTAATAGAAGTATCATATGAGACCCCACTGAGGATTCATGCCATCTCCAGAACAGTGGTAATCAACATTTTTTGCTCAAGTGTTTGTAATCCAGAAACCCCTAAATGAACTCACATTTGCCTTTCTTCTCCATAAAGCTCTCAAAATTTTCTTTCTGAAATCTAATCATGGTGATATACAAACAAGCATCCTCCTCTTGAGGTCCTATCTCATGACAGAAGTAAGCTTTACACAGTGGAAACAACTGTCAACCACCCAAGACTTAAATATCCACTCTGTGTATGTCTTTTTTTTTAAAGATGCATTCTTACTCTGTTGCCCAGGTTGGAGTGCAGTGGCATGATCTTGGCTCACTGCAACCTCTGCCTCCCGGGTTCAAGTGATTCTCCTGCCTCAGCCTCCCGAGCAGCTGGGATTTCAGGCACACACTACCATGTGCAGCTAATTTTTGTACTTTATTAGTAGAGACGTGGTTTCGCCATGTTGACCAGGCTGGTCTCGAACTCCTGACCTCAGGTGATCTGCCCACCTCGGCCTCCCAAAGTGCTGGGATTACAGGTGTGAGCCACTGCGCCTGGCCCATTCTGTGTATGTGTGAATGCCTACTCTGTGCAGAGCACTGTGGGAAGGGAGGTAGCACATAGAGAAACACAGTCAAGAGCTGAAGGTCTACTGGGAACGATGAAAAATGCACAGGAAAAAAATTACAATAGAAAATAAAATGCGATAAATGCCATAGACTGATTTGAGGTAAGTCATTTAAAAGCTACAAAACAGGAAAAGTTACTGCCAACTAGAGATTATCAGGATAGATTTCAGGGAGGACGAGGCATCGTTCTAGAGCAGAGGTTGGCAAACTACAGCCCAATGGCCAAAACCATCACATTGCCAGTGTTCGTACGGCTTGCAAGCTAATAATGATTTCTACATTTTAAATTTTTTTTAAAAAAATCAAAATAATTATATTTCATGATACATGAAAATTATCTGAAATTCCAATTCTAGTGCCCATAAATAAAGTTCCATCGGAACACAACCACACTCGTTCATGTACATATTGTCTGTGGTTGCTTTCCTGCGGCAACAGCAGAGATGAGTTGTTGCAACAGACCGTTTGACCTACAAAGTCTAAAATATTTACTCTCTGGTCCCTGGCAGAAAAAGTTTGCCAACTGCTGTTCTTGAGTCTGGACCTTGAAGGATAGGTAGGACCTGGACATACAAAGTTGGGGAAAGAGCATTCCAGGAAGAACTGGTGGAACTTAAGGGAGGGAGGCAGGAAAGTGTGCGCATGTTAGGGAACAGGAGTTGAGGATACAATCCTGTGTTACCCTAGTTTATAAAACAAAATATAAGTGTAAGAAATGCAGAGGCAGAGGAGAAGGGAATATGAATATTAATGAAAAGGGGGGTTGAAATTTTGAAAAATAGAGGAGAAAGGGAGTTAAGTAAATATTCGGGGAATGTAAAATAAATGTAAACAAAGAAGATGGGATGAGGCCTGAGAGTTGAAAGGGGTGGGGGGAGAAGAAAGGCAGGGAACGAATATGAATACTAAGGAAGGCAAGAAAATGGGGCCATGTTGGGAATAGAGGGAAGTCAAGAATGAAGTCCCTGGCATGGGTCCAGCACCTTGCTGCGCCTCGCGCTCCCGAGGGTGGGGACTGTGTCATGCAGCACCTCTCTGTACCCCAGCAGCCCCTCGCGCGCGAGCTGAATGAGTACGCTTCGCCACGACGGCGCAGGTTCACCCAGTGCGCTTGGGGAAGAGAACTCCAACTGTGTGTCAGGCACGGCGGGCCGCCTGAACCCACTTCCTCAATCAGCCTCTGCCGCGAGCCGGAGGCCGCTCATAGAGGTGTGACCGGGGCACTTGGGCCATGACTTCTCTCTGATCCTCGGTTCCCAGTAGGAAGGAGAATGACTTGTAGGGTCGTTGTGAACAATAAGTGGGGAGAGTGCGAGCTGGGTTTGGCAGGAACTGAGCTCTCGGTGACTGGCGGTCATTAGTCTTCTGAGAGCCCCCCAGGTCCCTCAGGGAGTGAACGGTCCAAGGTGGGAGTCGCGGGCCGCCCCGCCAAAGAGCACTTGCGCAGGGGGCCAGGTCAGCCTCCTCGTGGCGTGGCGCCAGCCTCTCTAAGCTGAGCCCCGGGCGTCCCTAACCCGCCTTCCGGAGGGCGCGAGGCGGGGCTCGACGCACAAAGGAAGCGCGCGGCCCTTGTCCGCACCGCCCCTCCCGCGGCCCCGCCCCGCCGCGCGGCCCGCCCCGCCCCGCGCCCTCGCCCCGCCCCCGGCAGAGGCGGCCGCGGGAGCGGTCCCAGACGCGCCGCATTGTCTCCGCGGCGGCTGCAGCCCTCGAGCGCCCGCCGCGCGCGCGCGCGCAACCCCGGCCGCCGCCCGCGCTCCCGCCCCGGCCTCGCGCCCCCGTCCCGGCCTCGCGCCCCGGCCGCCCTTTGTTGACGCCGGCCAGGCCGGTGCGGTCGGATGCGCCGCGGCAGCCCCGGGCCCCGGCTCGGAGGCTCCCGGCGGAGAGAAGGCGGCCCGCCCGGGCCCGGGACCCCGCGCGAGTCGGCGCCCGGCCGAGGGGCTGCGTAGGCCCCGCCCGGCCAGGCCCAGCCGGGCCCTGGACAGGTCAGTGCCGGGGCGGGGGAGGGGTTCTCGCCAGGAGGGAGGCCGGGGGCCGCGCTCGCCGCCCTGGAAGTCGGGCACCGCCCTCGGTGCCCCTAGCGGCCCGGGCCTACGCGGCTGCCAGGCCGTGCCAGTCGCGGCTCTCGCCCGCTTGGCGCCTGGGAGGTGCCCTGTTCCCCTGCCTCGCTTGCCTGGGGATCCTGCGGGCCCGTCGCCCCTGGAAGCCCTGTGTCACCTCG